TTCTTCTTCTTCTTCTTCTTCTTCTTCTTCTTCTTCTTCTTCTTCTTTTCTTCTTCTTCTTCTTCTTCTTCTTCTTCTTCTGCTTTCTCCATCTGTTGTTGTGTTCGCTGATAAATAGCAAGCGCCATTTCTAAAAAATGAAAGGCTTCTTTCATAGCGTCCTTGCCTTTCTTTATTTTTCCATATTCCTTTCTAAGTTCATCAACAGGTAAAGCCATTGTAAATCTTTTCTTTTTTTCTTCTTCTTAAAACAACCAAGATGTTTCAAAAGTTAGAATAGTCCCAAAGTCCCAGAGTCATCAATCAGTCCAAGCAAAACACAAAGTTCTCACTTTCTCTTCCTGGGGTAATATCAATAAAAAGAAAAGAAAAGCCCAATCTTGCAATTGATTTCTAGTCTCAAAATCTTCAAGGCATCTCTTCCAACAAGATCTTAATATTTTTTTTGTCCTCTCCCTTCCCACTTATCACAAGAAGCCAAATTTTTACCTTCTATAAAAAGACAGGTTTCTCAATATCCATTTGTTGATTCCATAGGGAAGGAGAGTAAACTTTCCTTTTCAGCACCTCGAATTTGCCGCTTGAAATTCTCCTCTGGAAACAAAATATCATTCAAAAAGTCATAGTTTTCAGGATGTTAGGTGTGTCTTAAAGTCCTGGGTCAGCCAAGAAAAAACTTTCTCTTCACAAACTTTCTCCTCTTCCTCCTGCACAGTCTTACCCAGCTGCCGGCTTCTTTGTGGCGGCCATTACAGACCGCCGCTCCACCGTCTTGAGAAAAGGGAGTTTTGCCGGCTGGGGAGGGGGTCTGCAACACCCCAAACCCCTCTCTGGATCCCCCCTGTCTTCGGCTGCCTCTACGGGGCAGCCTTAGCCTCCAAACCCGTCCGGATTGGAGGCACCAAGACGGCTAGCGCCGCAGGGATCGCGCAGTATCGCGAATCCCTGCCGCTGCCGAAGCCGACAAACCGGAAGTCTCAGCATGACAATTTACTTTAGAAGCAAACACTATTGCTATAATTTTGTCATCTTGTATGAAAGATGGAACTGAGTATTAAAGAACGTACGCAGAATGTATAAAATAATAAAACATAGAATTGGTATTAATTAAAAATATTGTTGCTCATAAATTATTGAATTGCTACATTATATTTCAGTTTGGTTGTTGATAAGGCTACAAGAATGTGGATGCCATTCAATTTCCAATTAGCTCTGGTATTAAGAAAACATAGGTCTGTTTTCTAACATTTATATTATTTTTCTGAAAAGATCTTGATGAATGTGCAGAGGGTCTACATGACTGTGAATCAAGAGGCATGATATGCAAAAATCTGATTGGAACCTTCATGTGCATATGTCCCCCTGGAATGACTCGAAGACCAGATGGAGAAGGTTGCATTGGTAGGTACCAGAACTAGGTACTTTGTTCTCTGTAATTAAATTAAAAGCAAACAATTTGATTTAATATTTCATTCTTAGACAGTGATAGTTTTTAATATTGTATATTTTATTGTTAGGCATTATAATTGTGTACAATTATCATCAGATTATTAGAGAAGCAGCTAAATAATCCAAATAAGGGTTTATAATACAAATGCAAAAAAGGCTTTTTCATAGGCAGTAGCTGGTAACAAGACTTCTACAAGTTCCACATTTTAGAAACTAAGGCCAGACCTTAAGGATTTAACATGGTATAATTGAACATACTGATATAGTTTCATGCCAAGACTATGTATAATTATGCCTGACAACCTCTGGGTTTTAATTCCCATGACTACTAGGGAGGAGAATATTACCAAGCCAATTTAGAATTGTAAAAATAAATAATCTATATTTCACCAAGGAAACTCATAATAAAAGGCTTACATATATTATGGTTAGAATGTATTGAATCATTATAAATTGTCATGTGAGAATGAATTGTAATAACATTATCACGGTGCTGTTGCTGGAAAACAAACAAAAGCTGGCATATTTTATCAGCTCTTAGTAGATTTGTACCTTGTAGTTTAAGATACCTGAAAAAATAAACATGAAAATTTTGTAATATGTAAAATGCACTGCTTTTACTACATAGCTATAAATACCATGAAGAATGGTCAATTTAAAAATATTTTTATTAGAAATTATATCATCTTATATTATTTACATGCTAAAACAAAATTTATATCTATTTAATCCAGCTAAAGCTTCAAGTAGTTATTCAAATAAGTGCATACTTTCACTCTAATCTCTGACTATTTACCATTTTTTCAGCAATTTTACATTTTTTTCAACAATTTTACATATATTTGTATCAAAGCAGGTGCAGATCCCTGTCATGCAGTAATTCTTATCTCTCTCTCCTTCCAAAAAACCCCCTTCCATTGAAATGTTAGAAATATAAACTTATAAGAATTAAAATCATATCATATTTTTGCACTCAATATAACTGTCTTTCTCAGGCTTAGAAATGTATTTTAATTGGCTATAATCAGAAGTGTAGCTTTCATTTTGAATTGTTTTGAATTGTGGGAATTACTATTACTCTTTTTGCTCTTATGCTATTTCATTTTTTGTTTATTTTCTTGTAATCAAGATGAAAATGAATGCCACAGTAAGCCTGGTATCTGTGAAAATGGTCGTTGTATAAACATTATTGGAAGTTACATATGTGAGTGTAATGAAGGTTTCCAGTCAAGCCCATCTGGAATTGAATGCATTGGCAAGTAAATTTATATTCCTTAATTTCTATGTCTGTTTGTCTATAGTTTATAGGTGCTTCTAACAAGAATAAAGATACCTGTTTGCAATATAAAATGGGGGTTTTTTCCCCACAAAAATCAATCTTTACTAACTTTATTATTAATAGCATGCTACAATCATTTTTTAAAAATTACGTTGATGTAAGAGATATAAATTATCAAATGTTTTGAGATAAACAATCAAACGTTTTGAGTTAAAAGTTATATGTAAACTGCTAAGCTGTTATCATAGCTAAAAATCTTCATTTTATTTCATAAAATATATATTTAGATGCTGTTTTTGTGAAAATATTTTTCCAGACAACCGACAAGGTTTCTGCTTTGCTGAAGTCTTGCAGACAATGTGTCAAATGGCTTCCAGTAGCCGTAATCTTGTCACCAAATCAGAATGCTGTTGTGACGGTGGAAGAGGGTGGGGCAATCAATGTGAGATTTGCCCACTTCTAGTAACAACTCAATATAAGAAGCTGTGTCCACATGGTCCAGGATACACCACTGATGGGAGAGGTATTCTTCATGGAACCTTCAGACAAGTTTCCTTTTTCTAACTATAGGGTGGTAGGAAGTTGAAGAGGTATAATATTGACTTAGTATCTCTAAGGATACTCCATATTTTGAAAATGGAAGAATATTGTGGTGTACTTTAGCTGTATTCCTTCGCAAACAATTTCACTTGCAGTGAAATTTTCCTATTTAATTAGTAATTAAAATGAATTGTTTCTATTGATTTAGATTATAGAGATTATTTATTGATAAACATAGAAAATCTATTGTTAATAAACTGTCTAACCTTCCCAATCTCAAAAGAACATACAACATAAACTCTGTTTATAGAATACCCAGTAGACTGCTGCTACTGGTCTTGGCTTTTCCCTACTTTCCTCCCCTTCAATCACTTCTGCTTAAAACATGCTGTTTCTCTATAGAAGTGAACCATCCAAAATTGGCATTTCTTTTGCATATCTCTTCCATGTTTTAATATTCTAGTAGCATTTAAACAATTGATACTAATTCTTGTGAATCAAACTAATAGGTATCATATTGAAATACTATAAAGTGAAATTCTTAAACAATTTAGGATAATCTAGGCTATGAGTGAGACAGAAGTAGCAAAGTTCTGCTGAAGTTTTGGGGGAAGAAAGGACGGTTATACTGAGAGTATTTATTTATAAAAAAAAAATCCTGAATTTCTCAGAAGCTTTTTAACTTAGTATTGCCTCATTTTCAGTCTGGCTAAAACAGTGCTGGCTTCTCTGCTGATGAATCATTTTGCCCATAGACAGAAAGGTATTACACTTTGACACCTACAAAAAACTCATAGGATTATGGCTATTTAATTAATTTATATTTGTTTAATGGCATCATATGTTTAACTGCAAGCTATTACATGCCAAAATAAAAAACACATCGTATTTTTTATTCCATAGATATTGATGAGTGTAAGGTCATGCCAAATTTATGTAGAAATGGCCAATGCATAAACACCATGGGTTCCTTCAGATGTTTTTGCAAAGTTGGCTATACTACTGACATAAGTGGTACTTCTTGTGTGGGTAAGTTATAGCTTTTATTGTTACATCCATATTGTATTATATTATATTATTATATCTATATTATAACTTGTTACAGTTTCCATTTTATTACTTAAAATATCGTGCTATAAAGCCTCAAACTTTGTATTTATTTTTTCATCAGATATAGAAATTTCCCTTCAATTATATTTCTGATTCAAGACTGTCCCATGTCAATAGAAACAGTAACTTAACGCCTTTTAACATAGTGTTCTTGTTCTGTAGAGACCCAAAGCTTGGAATTGGCAAGTAGAATTAATGCCATAAATTACTTTAAGCAAGGTAGTATTTTCTTCCAATGCCTTTGGAAATACTTTTTTTATGAAAGATTGGAAGATGTGGTTTATAATGTGAAAATTTGGGACTTAAGCTTACATAACTTCCTATATGAATTGTAAACTTTATATTGTGAGTTTAAACTTTCATGAAATATTTTTTCTCAATCTTTTTCAAATCTAACTGCAAATGCAGAACTCTGAATTGAGCTGAAAGATTTCTTTTCATTACTAAGTAAGAACTTCAAAATTCTTACTATCAAGTTGATTGACCTTTTTGCACTCTGATGAATCTTGTCTTTAGCCATGTTTTTAATAATTTTTAGTCTATTAGGGATTGCCCCCTAGTTTTATTTTGAATCCAATGCAATGGAATAATTTAAACCTGAATATGAATTATTCTTGTAATTAGATCTTGATGAATGCTCCCAGTCTCCCAAACCATGCAATTTTATCTGCAAGAATACTGAAGGAAGCTACCAATGTTCATGTCCACGTGGCTATATCCTCCAAGATGATGGAAAATCCTGTAGAGGTAAAAGATTGAATAACTTAGTGGATTTTCTAACCAATTAATTTATTCTTATGTGATACAGTCATGTTTTATATCAATTATCAAAACAATAATATTGAATGTGGCCCATTGGATTCAATCCCAAAGGTGCTTTTTCAAGAGGCAACTGGACTTTCTGGTTTTTCTTTGAAGATGTTTTTCTTCTCATCCAAGAAGCTTCTTCAGCTCTTCATCTTCTTCAGAGAGTTGAAGAAGCTTCTTGGATGAGAAGTGAAATGTCTTTAAAGAAAATAATGATAAAATCATGGAGTTCAGTTACACCTATATTGGATTCTTTATATGTAATCCAGCTCTATGGGCAGATGTGTAAAGTCTGTGCCATTATTCCATTCTTAGAATTTTTGTGGGTTTTAAAGATGCTTCTCTATACACAAATCCTAAGGAAGTATTGCTCAGGGAGCCCTGCATTTTTTATGCTTTTGCAGGGATGCCATCCCCGTCACCCCTGACCCCATTACAAAGGAAACTCTCACCAAACTCACTATCTGCCCAAATGACAGCAGGCCAATTGCCAGCATCCACTTCTCTGAAAACAATACAGGGCAACACACAATATGGGGTAGTAACAAAATTCGGATCTTGAGAATTCCAAAAAAGGACAATTTATGAGAAAGCCAGAGAAATTGGATTTTTCTACACAAAATGGATGAGGAACATGTCTATGGTAGAGTGGGAGTGGCTACTCAGATGATGCAATCAATGAGTGCCCTACCATTGTAGGACAAGCTCCAGCCTTTTGGTATATCCATTGTGATTCTGCATGCATGTTTGTAAGGGGTGGCATTTACATTATGGAATTTTTTGTGTTGAATCAAAGAGAGCCTTTTAGCTAATTCACTGCATTTAAAAGCAACTTTGATTGCTCCAACAGTGTTATTAAATATTAGATTAAATCATTATGTTGCCTTCATTTTTTAAAGAAATAAACACCGTATTTTTTCAGATCTTGATGAATGTCAAACTAAACAACATAACTGTCAATTCCTTTGTGTCAATACCTTGGGAGGATTCACATGTAAATGTCCACCAGGTTTCACACAACATCATACGGCCTGTATAGGTAAGAAGTTAACATTGTTGTTTTTTGTTTGATGAAAAACATGTTACATTTCTCATCTCTTTAGCAACAAACAGGCCTAGTAATAAGATTAATAATCAGATTAATATGATTTAATAAGAGAAAGATTTAAGATGAGAACTGGATCAATTCCACTTGACATATATCTTCCCATTTATTGATCTTTATCATATATCCCTTGCTATTTGTAACTTCTTTCATGTGGAGGGAAATTGTGAAACATTCTCAAAATGAAACCATAATTGTATTGTTTGCATCGATAGTATGCAATAGGTACAATAGGTATAATGAATGTTAAAAGCCTTGATAATATTTAAAATTGAGAGCATGTCTTTATGATACCAAGAATATAAAAAATGAATACAGTTGTGCAAAAAATTCAAACATAGCATTCTTTATTTTTCTTTTGGTATCTGATTTATAAAAAATGAAATGTCATTTTGTAGATAATAATGAATGTGGATCACAGCCTTCACTTTGTGGATCAAAAGGAATCTGTCAGAATACTCCTGGAAGTTTTGCCTGTGAATGCCAAAGAGGTTTCTCTTTAGATTCCACTGGATTGAACTGTGAAGGTAATCAATCAGTTGTGAAAACTGTGAGAGTGTCATAAGTTACATACTGAAGAGGTATTTCTGGAAATTGCCAGTCATTACTTAATAATGATATTTGTCTCTGTTAGGTTTATCATGTGATTATTAACTCTTAGTGTAATTGGAATTTTGTCATTTAGCTACTGAAATATAGATTGGAGATCATTATTGAATTTTTGATTATGTGCCATCAACTTGTCTTCAATTTCTACTTTCCACATGGATAGATTTTCTCTACTACATAAATTGATGACAGTCTACCCTAACATGGTCCTTCAGTTCCCATTGTAACTGAGCCCCCATCCATATTGCTGTTGGTCTGAGCACTGTGAGGAACATAGAGTGTTTTTGCTTCTTAATGGATTGCTTTAGTTGTTTTGTATTTTACTGCTAATTTAATTTCATCAAGCTTTCTAGAGTCCTCTGGAATGAGATGTCCTACTAATTCAACAAAAAATGAATAAAAGAGAAAAAAAATTAAAAAGTGGCTGAAATGTACAACGTATGTCATAACTCTTCTATCCTTTCATTTTACCTGAGTCTTGTCCTCTTTTCCATAGCCAACAAGTAAACTGAACTTTCTAGCTAACCACGTACAATTGTTATTCCCGTCTCCACCCTCAATAAAGCAGCTGCTTCTCCTAAATACTCCATGGCTAAGGGTAGGGCTGCCCTCCTGGCCTTTGATTCATAATTATCCTTAAGTGGGAAGCAAGAGAAAACTGAAGCGCTTTTTCCCCTGCCTTATAGTGGTTGCAGAGGATTTTTACAGCTTGAATCTACTTTGCTACTAATAAAAACTTTAATAAAAAATATTTCGCATATAAACTCACAAGAAAATGTCATTGAGTAATATGGAATTGTTTTTCTAAACATATATACACAAAATTTAGCAAATTATTTACTACTGTATTCTTTTATCTTTTTCTTTGTTTTAATATCTTTACTTATAGATATGGATGAGTGTGAAGGAAATCACAGATGCCAACATGGTTGCCAAAATATTCTTGGTGGCTACAGATGCAGCTGCCCACATGGATATATCCAGCATTATCAGTGGAATCAGTGTGTAGGTAAGAAACTCACTTTGCATAAAAAGTGCTAGAATTAATGATATACGGTAGAGAATAAAAATGCTATACAGAAACACCAAAATAGTTTATTTTATATCATTTAATCCTTCGTGTTGCTAGTTGTTATGCCAACCCCTGTATGCCAATCTTAAAAAAGAAAACTAGGAATTACATTTATTAGCCTTAGAAATTAGTCACTATTGTAACACAAGCTCTCCCTTTATAAAATCTGTATACTTAAAAAAGTATGTTTTTAATTGCCCAACAGATGAAAATGAATGCTCAAATCCTAGCATTTGTGGTTCAGCTTCATGCTACAACACTCTTGGAAGCTACAAATGTGCATGTCCCTCTGGATTCTCTTACGATCAGCTCAGTAGCGCATGCCACGATGTCAATGAATGTTCTTCTACCAAAAATCCCTGCAATTATGGCTGTTCCAATACTGAAGGCGGATACCTCTGTGGCTGCCCTCCGGGGTATTACAGAGCAGGGCAAGGGTGAGTAGTTGATGATGGCAAACTCTTCCTGCATCTTTTACAAAACTGTGAGCAACTAATATATTTTTGTACGAAGCAATTTCTACTATCTTGGAAGAGTCAAATCTCAATTCATTAATAAATAGTTCATATTTTCTACTAGGGAAATCTCTGATCTGTGATCTCTGATTTCATGTTATGCTTTCATGAAAGATTGAATGTTAAAAACAATAGAGAGAAACTATATTTGTACCTCCACAAAAAAGGAATATATGTGTAACATCTGTCCAAGTCAATCACAATTCAGTGCTGATTATCACCACTTTTTTAAGCAATACTACCAGCCAGTTAGACACATTTGCTCCAGTTATGTTTTTGTAAGACAAATCATATACTTCTTGCTTAAACATGAAATATTTATGAAACTGAATATGATGGTAGCCATAGTGTTTACATTACAACTATACAGAGTTTACAATGTGTAATTCAGATTGGATGAAAATGGAATGTATGAACCAGATCCAGTATAAAACCACCACTGACAAAATAGCTGGAGGAGTAGATTTCATCAGAAGAGTTTTTTGCTGCCTAAACTATTTTCTGAGGTATCCTATGTCTCCTCTCCATCATTGTTCCATGAATTGAATCATTCTGATCCGATCCTAGAAGTTGCTTTCCTTACACCATGTCCACAGTCATCTGATCACTTTTCTGTCACTGCAAAAATAGGAAATTTATTCCTTTGCCTTACAAACTTTTGTTCTATTTGTATTTGTGCCGCTGCTTTTGTTTTGTTTTGTTTTGTTTTAATATGTATGTAATATACATAAAAATTTAGAAAGGAATAAATCCCTTCCTGAAGCTAACTTACTAACGAAGGTGAAAAGTAAAAGATTGAAAACATCGAGAAGGAAATGCACAATTAAAGTATGCATTTTGTTTGTACAAAATAACACGTGTGTTTTTATCTGCATAACAAATCACTCATTTCTCTTATGAACTAGCAAACTGGCAACAAAAAGTCTTCTTTCTCCAGGTGCTAATATTATGACATTATTTATCAGGCACTGTGTCTCCAGTATGGGCTTTAGTAAAGGCCAGTATCTTCCAGTGGATCAAGGTGAAGAGAATGCTTTGTCCCCAGAAGCATGTTATGAGTGTAAAATTAATGGATATTCCCAAAAAGACAGCAGGAAGAAAAGAAGCCTCAATCAATCTGAGCCTGCAGAGGTAAGCAAAAACTGTGCAACTGATTTGCACCTGCTGTTCTAAACAACAAACCAGATCTAAGCAATATCATCCACTGAATTTGTCAGAATCTTATGGGTCTTTAAAAAGAAACTACTAATAATCTTACATTATTAACATCAAGAGCGATATTCTTTTGCCCACTGTTTCTGTCAATAGCAGTTTCTTATATGAGTTTGCGTAGCACTAATGTAGAATAGTTCTGCCCTTCCAATTTCAAAGAGATTTTGTATATACAAACAGAACAAAATAATTGGATTGAAATAATTGAAATTAGATTGAGTAATCAGTTGCAATTTATTGAGTAATCAATCGTCAGAGAAAAAAACTCTTACTACAGAATATTGAGGAATGCTGGAAAAACTCTTTCAAATTAATCTTCATATGATTACTTTATTAAACTTGATATAAGCCACTTAGATTCATTTTAGAATTACAGCATGTGAGTCTCAGAAATTAAAATAAATCCAATGTATGATTTTGTTCTTGTCTATTGAATCCCACTCTCACTTTATCAGATATTTGTGGATATTACACACGCTTTCCCCACAATTGTTTTATTAAAATAAAAGAACAGTGAAATGAGATTTTCTCATCAGGGGAGGGAATTACTCCATGCTGACCTCCCTCTAGATCACGGGTGACAAACTTGCAGCGTCACGTTGCCATCACATGATGTTGTCAGGTTCTAAGTAATGCAGTCATCATAAAATGAACTCAGAGGCATTGCAACTCTTCAAAGAACTATTTTATTTAATTACACATCTTGGCACGAACTGGTGGAAGCCAGTTCTGAAAGTTTCCTGGGCTTCCATGTCTATAGCTAGAATTTTCTCATTTTTCCAAAACAATATGTCACATTGTCCAACCAGGAGATGCAATAGTTTCCTGGCAACTTCACTCCTTCTTCTGGCCGAGCAGCAGTTGGAATGCAGCTAACTCATCACCCAGCTATGTTGTTTTGGCTGGAGCTTCATCCACCTCAGTTCTCCCCCCCCTCCATTTCTCAAGTGTGTCAAACTGAATTCATACGATTTCACCACCAAACTAAATTCAGACTTGACAGATGTATTGTGATTTTTTTCCCTCCAGAGCTGGGTTGGGCGTGGCCTGCATGTGACACATCCGGCCCATGGGACGCCAATTTCACACCCCCAGTCTAGATAAACTGGACTTCATCTCATGTATGCTTTGTTCCTACTAGCTGACAAAACAGGAAATGAAATCTCACACATCTGAAGGTCTGTGTGTGATGAAGGTTGCTTTGGTGATATGATAAAAGTATGTTGACCAATGTCTGTGAAAATTCTCAGTCATCCAGGTCATGATTGTCCCAAAGGTGCTTTTTCAAAAGGCAACTGGACTTTCTTGTTTTTTCCTTGAAAATGTTTCGCTTCTCATCCAAGAAGCTTCTTCAGCTTCTGTGTTGATCAATATTTCTGATCAGGTCCTATGCAAATTCTATATTTTCCTATTGAATAAATTACCCAGTAAATTAGCAGAGCACAAAAGATGGTATTTACACTGATTTCTGTAAAATCTATGTTGGATGAAATATTCTGGAAGAATGGTAGATGTCCACTAGCTTTCCACACATGCTCTGAAATGCAGTTTCTAGACCGGAGATCTTGATACCATTCTAGAGCCAGATAGCAGCAATGATGGAAAATTAGAATAATTAATAATCTATGGTTAAAAAAAGTGTCTAAACAGAAAAATTGAGGTTTGCCTACCCTTACCTTTTATTTCTGGTTTAACAGATCAGTTTGGAAAGTTTGGACATTGATCTTCCATTAAAGATGAGATTCAGCGTAACTGGCCTTGGCAATAAAGAACATATATTAGATCTCATGCCTGCAATACAGACCCTCACAAATCACAACCGCTACATTATCTCCTTTGGTAACCACAACAGCACCTTCCGGATACACCAGAAAGATGGGCTCAGTTATCTTCAGGTTGCTAAGAAAAAAGCCACAGCTGGTATTTACACACTGGAAATAGTTAGCATTCCTCTGTACAAAAAGGAAGAGCTAAAGAAATTGGAAGAAAGCAATGAGGACAACTACCTCCTAGGAGAACTTGGAGAAACTCTTAAAATGAGACTCTGGATTGAACTCTATTAAAACCTTCCTTCCCTCATGAAGGATTCCCTTCTGTTCACATATCGTATCATATACTTTGGTTTTTTGAAAGCTTTAAGGGGGTCGGGTAACTTACTTTTTCAGAAGACCCAAAATTGCAAATAGTGACCTCTGCATCCTTCTGTCCTGAATAAGACTGAAGAACCAGACCTCAACCTTTCTATTACCAAAAGCCTTGATTACAATGCCAACAATCATGATTACTATATTGTCTATATAATCTCAATTTTAAATATATATATATTTTTAAAAAAGAAAATGTGGTGCTTAAAAAAATCATATATGGCACTAAATGGCACAAAATGTGAGTTACTTTTCCTATAAGCACTCTAGCATATTGATGATTTTGCTGTAGTTCCTAAATTAAAAATAGAGATTTTATTTATTTTTAATGCAATAATATATGGAGAAATTAACAATCTGTGTTAAAAGGGAAAAAGAAAACACTTGTTTTCCTTCGCAATTTTATGAATTTGAGTTATTACATTTATTAGGTATTTTAGAAAAAAGAACAGAAACGAATAGATTGAAAAAGTTTCCTCTGTCTTGTGCCTATTATCCATAAAGCATTAGGAAACAAATCATGTGATCAAATGAGCACTGTGCTACACTACCCAAGGGCTTTCTTTTCCCTAGGCAAGATATTAAAATAGTACATTATCTTAAATAACCATGATCAGAATTTCAACTTTAAACTTGGTGCTGATACTTAACATACACATCATAAAAACTAGATTTTTCTATCAGAGAAGACTATTCATGGAAATGATGCACAACCACTGTAACAAAATACCTGGAATGCTTGTGATATCCTTGGTATTGCAAGCCAATCCGTACTGTATTTCCTTCAGGTAACCTCACTATATCACCTCATTAACTACAACAAAAGGTGCTTGACGTATTTGCATTACTGTAGGCAGCTGATTACAAATCATGTATTCTTAGAAAGAAACACTTGATGTTTCATTCTAAGTGGTGCTGGCTTGAATTCATCCTGAAATAAAGACGGCTGAGCTATTGCAGAATTGTCATATGTGTACACTATTCATGCTGCATGGAAAAAACACATATTGGAAAATAAGAATGTTGATTAATGCTGTAGTTATACACAATATGTCTCGTTTTATCATAGCCTATTTTATAAGTTACCTTTGTACACTGTGTTGGCATTTAGTTTAGTGTGTTTTTTATTTTTGTCATTTAATAATGGTGCTATAAATAATAAATTGTACTTGTTACAGGTCATATAAAAAAGCCTCACATGTGAACCAACACAAAGCACATTCCATGCCTGCTTTTCCTCTGTTTTTTTTTAAACTTACTGATCAAAAATTGCCAGAAGTTATGCTCATTGTTTTGGTTCATACTCTATTTTCTGTGTATTTTCTTTTATGAAAAGAGAAAACCCTGTAAATTGCATTTAGGAAAAAAAAAACAGTATTATTTTGTTGGTCCTTGTATTAATACAGCATCACTTTTCCTGAAATAAAACTTATTTTCCGGTAGCTGCATTATTTTGTTTTGATATGGAGAGATGGTCAACCTTATAGCATTAGGAGTGAATGATGATGATGTATTTTCAATTTTGCAGAACTTGTACAGGATGACCATTGTTTCCTGAGTGAATTGTAGCACTTTTCCTGAGACAACTGAAAAATGTTACTGTGAAAAATAGGGCAGGTGTTGAAAGTATGAAAAAGGGCTCCATTTGTACATTGTGGGTCAAAGTATTTTGGGAATCTGAATTCAATTAATGACTTGGTAATTTTATTTAACATACTGTGTTAAGTGGTGCCCCTAAATTAATCTAATCCAACAGGTAGAAAGAGCAATAATTCCCAGGGCCTGAGACTTTTTCCCTGCAGAGCACAGAGGAGTAGGGCTAAGGAAGGGAGGGGAAGAGAATAACTCACCATGGCCATCTCACACCAGGACAACTTGCTGTGGGACAATTCAACAATCCAATTTAAAATAATTTTTTAAAATATTTTAATTTTTGTCATTCACATTTCATTTTGTCCTTCCTTTTGCATCATTTCTTTAATGATTCTATTCCACCAATTCTTAAATATTATGTAATTCTTGTCCTGCAGCAAGTTGACCATGATGAGTTAAGCTCAGCATGTTGCTGTGGCTAATTGGCCATGGTGAGTTGGCTGCAGTGAGTTGGCTGTGGCAATTTGTCCTAGACCCCAAAGGGAGGCCCTTTGCCTGGGTTGGAAGTCTCAACATGCCTTGATCCCAGCATTTAGTGGCATGACAATTCTGCCCCCCCCCCCCACATATATGTCCCACAAGCTCATACCCATATAGGTCTTGGGGATTCCCATCCCATGAGGGCTTCTTGGTGGCTGTCCTGACAACCTGATTTTTAAGAAGGACCTTAAAAACAGGTTTTTACTCTGAGATCTTTCAGGGTACCAATTGTCTCCTTACAACACTTACATTTTATTACATAGGATTCTAAACCTTGAGCCCTATGAAAAATAGATAGTGTATATAAAATGGCTATTTCTGACAAAGCATTGTTAGACAATTCATAAAGCTTCTGCTAATACTTATATATTCTGATGATTAGCAGAATCACAGGCAGAAGGATGTGAGTTATGTGGGGCCTTATGTTTATTGTTTAAAAATGGTGATAACAGATTGAAGCTAGCCATGCCTCCCACTAAGCAAACACATCCTTTGTATTCTGGAGAAGGAGGCAAGATAAAGCAGGCATCAAGGTCAGCTATTTTCTTGCACTTGTGTTCTCAGTTTGGCAGGAAAATGTTTCCTTAATTATCAACAACAGATTTAATGGGCTTTTACTGATTAACACTTTCTTTACATCTATAAAACATACTTAAACTTGTTGTAAGCTTGTCATGAAGAGAGGCCAAAGTATATCATAGAAATTATTGCTGAATTTTCTAAGTTACACTTTCTAAATACCTGGTGTTTTTTTTAAAGAACATCTAACTTTATTGTTTGGGACAGAATATGATCAAAGATGCTGTGGTTCTGGATATTTACAGGATTGCTGCTTTTGTCAAGATGGCTGAGTAGTGTGGCACTGTTGTGCTGTGAGCTCTCCCCTTTTATAGGTACACGCAAAACAATGCAATGTCAATGTGTGTGCTTCTCTGGCAAATGACATTGGCACTTTGTAGTGTCCGGGAACTAGGCTGACAGGGTTTAGACCACCTGCAGCATTCCAAGCAAATGAAAAGCTAGTGAGAATGACCTTACTTTTAACCACACCTGTTGTGCACTTATGCTAGAATTCTTACACCAGTTATTGCACTGAGTAAGTCTGAATGTGTGCCTTTGCAGGTGAAACTAGCAAATTGATTATGGTTATCAGTACCTGTAGCACTTCCAAGCCCATTATTGCCAGCTAACCTGGCAAATTATCATGGTGGCTAAGGATTATGGGAAATGTAGGCCAACCTAGGTGGACATGTATTCCTTACATTCAGTTCAGTTTTCAAATTGTATCTGGTAATGCAGAATCAGGTTCTACCTCATTCTTCCCTTCTTCAAAGACTGTTAAAATAGTTGACTGCACTTGGCCCTACCTTTATTTAAATGAGTGCCTCCTTTGCTTTTGAAAGCAACACAAGAAGGTTGAAAAAAATGCTGGCTTTGGAATTTAAAGGCAAAGAATCACCAGCATTTTCTCAGCAAATGTTGGGGAAGGTGGGATGAGCCGTGCCAAGTTATCTACACCACAAATCATCTTGAAAATTCAGTTCTGAAAGAATGGCTGTTTTATTTGGATTAAATATTAAATATTTATTAATTTTAATGACCCTTTTCCCCAGGGCTTAATCTAAATACACTGGCAGAAATTCCTCTTGTATGACTTTAGATCTTTTTTAGCCTGAATTTGAATACATTGATAATTTTAGTTCAGATGTAGCTCTTCGTTGGTTAAACATGCATATGGGTTCAGGAAGACTTCTTGAACAAAAAGGTTGCCTTAGAAACTGAGATATGGGGAAATTGTCACACTTTAAATGTCTGTATTTCAATGTATGTTTTGCTGAAAGCACAACAAAAGTAATTCTTACCTGCTCCTATATAATTAGAATTAACAAAGATTTTCCTGAATATTGTATAGGTAGTGCTGAAACTAAAGGAATACTTTCAGTTTGATGGCTTTGCTGAAAATCAGTAATACAAAAGTTTGGGTATTAAATCAACAGAGGTTCATTGCATTGATATATATTTTATTTAGTGCATGGAGGGTACAAATGTGACAGCCACAGCAGCCATTTTGGGTCAGTGTCTATAGTTTGATATTAAAATCAAATTAAGTAGGGTTTGCAGGATTTTTCTCTGGCCACAAGATGGCACTTGACAACTTCTATATGACAGTGTTCTCAATTCCTGTTTCCCACTTGACTACTATCTGCTGCATTTCAAACTTGACTTACCTCCTGCTTCAGTTCAACAAGCCTCTCCATTCCTGCATACACAGTAATGGAGAAGCCACTTAAAAGATGCTTCTAGCAACCTTCCTCAGAGGGAAAATTGGGAGATAAGAAAGGACTTTTCCTATCACTCTTCAGAAATATTTTCAATAAATCAATATTGCACTCAACCTCACTTCCCCCAAATAACAAAATTGGCAAGCATGTACAGCCCAGGTTCATACCTTCTCCTTTTTCCTGCAGGAAAGTAAATGCAATGGAAGGCTAACTTGTGAGTCTACATTCCACTACAATGTAAGCCTAGCTTCCCGAACATTGGAGTTCAGTTGTTATTACTATTTTTCTCGTCCTCTTTATTCTAAGGCAGTGGTAGTCAACCTGGTCCCTACCGCCCACTAGTAGGCATTCCAGCTTTCATGGTGGACGGTAGGGGTTTTGTTCCCTACTTTACAAATCTCCATTACTGTGGAACCAGTGGGCGGTTAGAGAAAATCTTACTAACAGATACAAAAGTGGGCGGTAGGTATAAAAAGGTTGACTACCCCTGTTCTAAGGCAAGCTACCAGAGGACTAGCAAGGTCTACCATTCATTCAGTCTGGTATCTACAGTGTGGTTATCCAGCCAAATCTGTAACACTCACATACACCTTCCCCAGTGGTGGGATTCAAATATTTTTACCACCGGTTCAGTGGGTGTGGCTTAGTGGATGCGCTTTGCACGTGTGCACCCTTTGTGTCCACGCGCGCACCAAACGCACACTTAGCGCAGGCGCTGAGGCGTTCTAACTCACCTCCTGCAAGCCTGCACGATCCCGGTCGCTTCAGCAGCTGCCACGCAACACTCTTCTGTGCCGTGCAAAGCAGCTGCGCTTCAAATTCAGAGGATAAAGGTGAGTATGGGAGCCCAGGCGGGCGGGCGGGCCCAACAGCAGAGCAGTGGAGAGAACCGGTTTGGTCTCCGCTGGTCATCGCTGCTACCAGCTCAGCAGAACCGGGCTGAACCAGTAGAATACCACCACAGACCTTCCCCCTTCCTGAGGGGAAATTGTCAAGCTCTAGTGCTCCCATTTTGATGAGCAAACCAGCTCTGCAGTGATTTCAAGGCATATTACTCAGAAGATGACTTTATTCCTAGGTTTGCCGTGAATGCTGTCATTTGGGGCCCCAAGCAGAATCTGGGAAATGAAATGTCTACGATTCAAATTCCAATGACATAATGCTTCAGTACCTTCATGATCTACTGGCCACAACACATAACAAATCAGACAAAACTATACATACAGAATATTTTTTTATTTTAATCTTGCCTTTATTATTTTTATAAATAACTCAAGGTAGTGAACATATCCAACACACCTTCCTCCTATTTTCCCCACAGTCCTGTGAGGTGAGTTGGGCTGAGGGACAATGACTGTCCCAAAGTCACGCAGCTGCCTTTCATGTCTATGGTGGGGGTAAGCTCTAGCCCAGGGGTCTCCAACCGTGGCAACTTTAAGACTTGTGGACTTCAACTCCTAGACTGGCTGAGGAATTCTGGAAGTTGAAGTCCACAAGTCTTAAAGTTGCCAAGGTTGGAGAACTCTGTTTTAGCCTGGTGCTTTAACCACCAGATCAAACTGGCTTATAAGCCTGCTATACGAGGTGGCTTATTTGAAGTTATTTCCTCCTGCCTCTTCTTAGCTATGTGGGGCATGGAATGTAGTTAGTTCATCCTTATAATGTGTGCTCTGCAACAGTTAAAAACCTGCTTTGCTAATTACTGTTCTGAATAAGATTGTCCCCCTCAGGAATGCTCACAAGTCCAGAGAGAAAACTTCAGCCTCCAACAAGATGCAGGTGGTTAGTCAATGTTGCTAAGCAGGTGAAAGAATAAAATAAATAGCAGCTTATTTTTTCCCTTGTGGCCTAGCTTAGTATTTGGATAGGAGGAAGATTTGCAATTTTACATTCAGAGCTCATGACTGGAAAAACATCTATCCTGAAACTTGTTAAAACCATACGCTAACCAGACTAGAGCTGAAAAGGCAATTATTTGTAATTCTGTATAGATTTGTGAATCACTGGAATATTTTAAAATAGAATAGAATAGAATAAACAGAGTTGGAAGGGACTTTGGAGGTCTTCTCGTCCAGCCTCCTGCTTGGGCAGGAAACCTTACACACCACCATTTTGCTGAACTTCTCATGGGTTAAAACTAAATACAGAATTCTTTTGCATCTTAATGAATAGAACTGGGTTTTTGTAGAAACTACGTCAGCTGAAGACGATGACAATTAATGGGAGAAAAGCAGACAGGATCAGAGAATGTTACCTTTAACTGTCTCACAAAGAAAACAAAAATGAATACAAAAAATGAACGTAAAGCAATCCAAGTTTCATTTTCACAAGAAGTATTGCAATAATACAATAAAACACGGTAATAGATCAGCTGAATTTTTTTTAAAAAGCATTAAACTTTTATAATTAACCAC